CCCCCCCCCCCCCCACCAGGGGCTTGGGCAGCCCCTAATAGGTTCCTTGTATTTGGGGAGTGTTTTTAGATTCCACATATAAGAGAGATCATAGGGCATTTGTCTACATTGTTATTTAAATCGGTCCTGGAATCACAATTTAAACCGTGTATCATCACTTTGGCCTTAAAGCATTCACTGGTCATTTTCCATTACCTCAAAGTGGCAATGTTATCAGCTAGGAATGTCTGTGAACTCCCTCCCTTTCACTGAATCCCCTTAAATATATCAGTTTGGAAGTGGACAGAAACAAACAATGCCTACTTTGTGAGTGCATGTGCTTGGATGAGGCTGTCTCAACAGCACTTTATTATACTCTGAAGAGGCATCATTCATTCATTCACTCATTCATTCAATAAGTATGACTAATATTAAGCCCAGACTAGTGCCAGACAATGCACATCCCTTTCCTTCACTAAGCAGAGACGTTTGCCCTGACCAAAGTGGAAGTCGAACTGCCCCTAAATGACTAAGCCTCTCACTGTGTTCATGATGCATTTCCAAGCAGCTGGATGCCACAGGCTCAGGTATACTCCTGGCCTCTGGAACTGGAAGCCCCTGGAACTGTTGGTCTAGGCACCTATAGTGAACATCTCTGAGATTCAGGTCTGCTCAATGCTCTGCAGATGCTGGCTACTTCAGGGGCCACCAATACCAATGGAGGATCAAAACCCATAGGGTAATTGCCTCATGATGCTTTATTTAATTTTAGAAATCAGTCCGGCTCTCAACAACCTACAGCAAACTCTGAAAGTTATGACAGTTCAGAAAGGATTGATTGATACCAATATCACTGCCATCCGAGATGACCTTCGTGGGATACAGAGCGGTCAGTATCTCCCTACCCACCGTACTTGGCTTCTTTTGTCGAGCATTCAAGATACTTACACCTCCCTCTTTGTGTGTGCTTTAGATGACATCAGTGATATGATCAGTAGGGCAAAGAGCATGGTCAGAAATGCCAACGACATCACAGATGAGGTTCTAGATGGGCTCAACCCTATTGAGACAGATGTGGCAAGAATTAAGGATACCTATGGGAGCACACAGAGAGAAGACTTCAACAAGGCTCTCACTGATGCAGATAACTCAGGTATCAAGCATTCTTCAGACAGGACATACTATCCGTTTTCTCCATTGTTATGCACTTTGGTCAGTTTATGTGAATTCTTCCCTGATAAAGTCTGAAATTAGAAATTAAAATATTAGAAAACTGCTTCACATAACACCTTCAAAGAATATGGGTATTCTATTAGAAAGTCTAGGTGGGATTTTTTTTTTAACCCATTGACATTGGTATTGAGTTTCCCTTTTTTAGAGTGGAGATATAGGTCCCCTAATCATGAGGTATTAAATTACAATTGATATTAAGGTTCAAAAAATAAAGATTTAGCTTCTTCTGTAGTGGTTAAGAAAGATGATTTGATATCTAGACTGCAGGATAGAATCCACGATGTATTTAGGAAAGGTATCACCTGACTCTGAGTCATCCTGTCCAATATTTGGGACCCAAACGTAACACTTGACAAATGCTGTCAATGAGAAGATCTGTATTTAACCTTTTCTCAACTCACAATTACAAATTTCTGTTCTGTAATCTCATCAACAGTGAAGAAATTAACCAACAAACTGCCTGACATTTTGAGCAAGATTGAAAGTATCAACCAACAGCTGTTGCCACTGGGCAATATCTCTGACAACGTGGACCGTATCCGGGAGCTAATTCAGCAGGCCAGAGATGCTGCAAATAAGGTAGGTGTGTCCCCACATTGCCAGGCACTAAGCCTCCTTCTTTGAGAGGTTAACACATTCATCAAGAAAGGGAAGGTGTTTGTTTACATGGAAACTGGTTGTCTTTCTTGCTCTAATTCTTTAGTTGTTTGGAATGTGAAAGTTCACTTCCTCCTGTCATCCTTCAAAAGTGCACATTACCTTCATGCCCTAAATGATTTGGTATGTTAGGGACCTGAAGCAGTTTCCTCCCCACTGAGTTTATGCAGGCAGGAAGAACCGTTTTCCTCCACGCCTCAGCTGGTGAAGTGTTATTGCAAGTTCAGGTAGGGTTCTGTGAGCAGAATGTGCTGATATGATGCTGCACAGGACCTACTTTCTTGTTATAACTTTAAAGTTATAGAATCCACCTTTATTGAGGGTGGAGGAATGGTTCCTATCAGCAAGGGCACTGTACTAAACACAGGATTATAACAAATTTTCTTCACTGGAATGCAAATTCATCAACCTTTGTTATTTTAACTTGACAGTTACTTGAATTCCTGACACTTCTCTATCAGAATTTGTTTTGTCCTAAAAAAGTACTAATGAAACATCTTGCTTTTTTCATCCACCCCCTGTGAGATATTTGCAGACAGAGGGTTGGGAAGCCAAGTCAGAGTATCACCACCCTAAAGGCACTGTGGTTGGTTTCTCAGTTCACTATTTTTAGAGAGCCCTGATGCACTCATTTTTAAGGACTGTAATAAAAGCAACCATAACATGTAATATATTAATGGGGAATGATTCCTTAAAGAATTTATTTTAAAAATATTTTTGAAGTATTATGTATCTACTATGCACCAGGCACCATGCTAAGTGTTTCCACACGTTAGCTCATCTGCACAAAAACCTCCTAGTTGCAACTATGATAATAATAGTGATTATCATTTCTGGCACAGAGAATTAGATGCACTTCTCATAGACCCCTGGCCTATAAACAGGAAGAACATGGATGCTTTATTACCCAGCCCCTAAAACAGCTTCATGAGTTTATAATCCAGGTCTAGGAGTCATGCACACTCCTTTGCTCTTTATCATAACAACTAGGAAAGGTAGAGCTGAAAGGATTCGCATCAGAGGCACAGGCTACCACTGCGAGCACACCCCCTTTCCTCACAGGAGAATGGTTAATGCTCTAGATCTTTTCCCTCGTAGGTTGCTGTCCCCATGAGGTTCAATGGTAAATCTGGAGTTGAAGTCCGGCTGCCGGATGACCTAGATGATTTGAAAGGATACACATCTCTTTCTTTGTTTCTCCAAAGACCTGAGTCAAAAGAAAATGGGGGGACTGAGAATATGTTTGTGATGTACCTCGGAAATAAAGATGTAGGTATTGCTTTGACATTTCTCTTGTTTTTAAAACAATATGGTTTGGGAATTTTTTTTTTTTTTGAATGTTGGTTCTATATTTGCTGCATGACCACCAAACTTAGTGGCCAAAAACAACAGTAAATATTATTTCATGCTGTTTCTATGGTACAATGTTCAAAGTAGCTTAACCCATATGGTTCTGATTCAGGGTCTCTCTAATGAGGTGTCTGTCGAGATGTTGGCTGGGGCTGCAGGTATCTGAAGGCTTGACTGTGGCTGGAGATTTGCTTCCAGTTTGGCTGACTCACACACCTCGTAAGTTAGTGATGGTTGTTGGTAGGAGGCGTCTTCCATGCCACGAGGTCCTTTCCGTAGGGCTGCTAAGTGTCCTCATGACATAGCAGCAGGCTTCCCCAGGAATGCTGTTGGGATGATCGAGCCTCCATCACCCTAGGGAATGCCGCTATTTGTGGGTTGAATTGTGGCCCAAAACAATATGGTTTTTGAGGCGTGTTGTCACCAGTGTGTCATAACTTCCTGCTTCCATTGGCGTAGCAGGAGGAAATCCCACCAACACATCAGCAGACTCTACCACCTCTGATGGCACCGCAAGGGGTCTTCCATCAATCGCAGACTGTTACCTGCTGGCCTTATCTGATGGAGAGGCCTTGCCCAGTGGGCTCAGCATGTGGTACATGTGTGTGTACATGTGAGCACGTACACACCAGGGGTGAAAGATGAGCACCCCTCCCTACACAACTGGGGCGGCAATATCAAGGTCTCATGGAAATCAGCAGTGCTTCTTCCCCACAAAACTGTGACCCTGTCCTTGTCAGAATGCCCAGCTGCAGACCCTTAAGTCTGCAGGGGTGGTACCATGGGTGGATGAGGACCAGAGTGAAATGAAGCCTCTCCTGCCTAATTAATGCCCATCTCTTTTTAATTCTAAATTCTTTAAACCACAACTGCTACAGGCATTTTGAACAGTTCATTTTAGCTTTTAGTCCCTCCTCTTAAAATATATTTCTTCAACTTAAGTGTCAGAGGAAAAGGTAATCACTGGCTGGGTTAGCATACAATGGCTATGGGGGAAAAAATGTCTGAAACATTGTTCTGGAAAATTCTAGTCAGTTAGAAAGTTGGCTGTCATTAGTGTATGTGGTATTTAAAGATTCCTAAAACTGACACTATTATTAATCACTCTCTCATGCTTTGAAGTGTTGGTACTTTATTTGTAGCTTTGTTATGACATGACTTTCTGCTTTGTTTTATAACAAAACACACATTACTTTATTCCTTCAAAATATTTGTACCATCTACCTACAAGGTGCCACATCCTGTATTTATGATAAACAAAAATTGTTTCTTGAATGTAAATTTCATGTTGTGTATATATTTAACACAATTTGAAAACTTCATATGTACTCTAAGGTGCTGTATTCTAACAGAGAAGACAGATACATACGTAGCTGACCGTGATAATACAGGGTTCTAGGTGTTACAACAGAGGCATAGCAAAGTGTTAAGAGATCATTGCATGGTACAGGGAGAACAAAAATGGCTTATCTCCCTTATCAGACTAAACTCTAGTGGAGACCTGAGTCCATATCTGGTTTATCTTTATGGCAAGTGCTTGGCAAATATTTGGAGATTTGGCCAACGGGGGAGTGAATACATGAGTGCAATAAACCAGGAGCAAAGACAGTGCAGACATTATTAATTAAATGTTCTATCTGTATCATTCTGTACAAGGAGATACCTCTTTTATTCTGTCTTCCCAAGTCTTATTGTGTAAAACCCATTAGATATTTGAAATACACTCTCCTGGGATGGGGAGTTCAGAGAAACAGTGTGTCTGTGAAGTACACTAAGGTGGCCTTTCTGTCTCCAGGCCTCCAGGGACTACATCGGCATGGCAGTTGTAGATGGCAAGCTCACGTGTGTCTACAACCTGGGAGAACAGGAGTCTGAACTCCAAGTGGACCAGAGCTTGACTGAGAGCGAAACTCAGGAGGCGGTTATGGACCGGGTGAAATTTCAGAGGTATAAGTCACATTGACCACGGCTCTTTGTTAATCTGACCCACACTCACCAAACTCCCATTGTGTGTACCGCTGAACCCCATTTTTAGTATCTTGGCTTTGACTTCTTCAATTTTTGTGTAATTTTTAAATATAATCTTGTTTATTTTTAAACAGAATTTATCAGTTTGCAAGCCTAAATTACACCAAAAAAGCCACATCCAGTAAACCTGAAATACCCCAATTCCATGACATGGAGAGTGGAAACAGCAACACCCTCCTCAACCTGGACCCTGAAAATGTTGTATTTTATGTTGGAAGTTACCCATCTGACTTTAGAGTAAGTGTCAATGTTATTTCACTGAGTGAAAATATTTAAATTTTAATTTGGTGTAATGACCTCACATCTCTATTTTAATTATCCATTGTATATAAAATGAACTTAACTATATATTCTTAAAGCATATCCAGGGATAAATGCTAACAGTTCTTGAGCACTTCCTCTGTGCAGTGATCAAGATGCAAATAGATTAATTAAAAAAAAATTTTTTTTTAATGTTTTATTTATTATTGAGAGACAGAGTGAGACAGAGCATGAGCACGGGAGGGGTAGACAGAGGAGGAGACACAGAATTTGAAGCAGGCTCCAGGCTCTGAGCTGTCAGCACAGAGCCTAACGTGGGGCTCAAACCTACTAACTGCAAGATCATGACCTGAGCTGAAGTCGGACGCCCAACTGACTGAGCCACCCAGGCGCCCCAAGTAGATTAATTTAAGAAGGCATTACTATTCCCATTTCATGGATGAGGAAACTGAGACAGAGGGGTTTAATAACTTGCCCAAGGTCAAGCATCTGGTGAATAGCAAAGCCAGGGCCTCTGGCTCCAAGGTCCACATTCTTAGCCCCTAGGCTGCAGGGATAGTTAAAAGTGATGGATTCATACTGGTCTTGATCGACCTGACCACTGTCCTTGGTTGAATTAGATTTTCGGTTTCCTTTTTTTTCAGCTTCCCGCCAGACTAAGGTTCCCTCCGTACAAAGGTTGTATTGAACTGGATGACCTCAATGAAAATGTTCTGAGCTTGTACAACTTCAAAAAAACTTTCAATCTCAACACAACTGAAGTAGAGCCTTGTAGAAGGTAAATAAAACCAGGCACTAGTGTCTCTGTAACTGTGATTTGGGGAACTTGCAACTATTTTATGTATAATAAAGGGATGAGCCAATAGGATGCTGTTGATATCACTGATAGCTTTAGGCCAACAGATCTTAAATTATGATCGCACGCCACACTGCTAATCCACTCCCAACGTTTCCTCATTTGTATAAAATATTGGAGCGATAGAGTTTTCTCAATTTTGAAAAAAAGAAACCCTTCTTAAATGTTTGGTGCCTCCTACCACAAAATATTCAGTAATAGATGGTACCTGATTCAGGCACAAAATTATATATTGAAGTTGCAAAAAAAAAAAAAAAAATGTTGGTCCATGAAGTGCACCATGACTTTCTAGGTACTCTGACAGCTGGACCTTTTTGAAAATTGATGTCTTGAGCTTCCTGACTTCCCTATAGTTAAAAGGATTTGGACAGACTATTTATTTACTCAGGATAAAATTATGTTTCAAGTTAATAATTTTTTACGTTTCAAAGTCTTCAGCTGCTAGGCCACATCTTCCTAAGTAGATGGTTCCTAAATAGACAGTTAAGAGGAGACTCTTTAACTATTGTCGCTTTAAAAAAATATTTATTTATTTTTAAAATTTATGTTTATTTTGAGAGAGAGGGAGAGAGCATGTGTGCATGCATAGGGGTGGGGCAGAGAGAGAGGGAGGGAGAGAGAATCCCAAGCAGGCTCTGCACTGTCAGCGCAGATCCCGATGCGGGGCTTGAACTCTCACCCACTGTGAGATCATGGCCTGAGCCAAAATCAAGAGTCAGATGCGTAACCAACTAAGCCACCCAGGTGCCCCTTAACTGTTAGCTTTTTTGAGCTAGGGTTTGATTATCATAGCATATAAGAGCACATCCAGGACAAATAGCTGGCTATTTTAACATTCTAAAGATGTTTTCTCTTTAACAAAATCATGACAGCTACGTTGCATGGGCTTTGCTCTGGTTTTTAGATGGCAGCATCTCCTATTAATAAACCCTCTTGAGTGGTAGTCCTTTGCTGCTGTGTTCTAACCTGTGATCTTTGATGTTGACAGGAGAAAGGAAGAGTCAGACAAAAATTATTTTGAAGGTACAGGCTATGCTCGAGTTCCAACTCAACCAAATGCTCCCTTCCCGACCTTTGGACAAACGATTCAAACCACCGTGGATAGAGGTTTGCTGTTCTTTGCAGAAAATCAGGTATTCTATGACAAACATCCAAACACTACCCAATATTTCCATTCACTTAAGCAACTCCGTGGTAACTGGGTTATTATAAATAACTAACTAGATGTGAAAAAATGTGCAGATGTTACCCACATCTTTTCTCTCGGCCCAATGCTGCTTTTTTTTTGGCTATGGGAGTATATGCAGGTAATCGGGAGCTTGAGAACATGTCACCGAAACATGCCATTGTCAGTTTTATTCTTTGAAAACTGCTGTTTGCCTAATAATCAACTTATTCTGCCTGAAATCATGTGATGACCTCCCAGGGTCTCTGAGAGCCAGACTGTTTGACTTCCTGCTGTTTGCATCTTAGTCCGGCTCTCGCCAGACTGTGCAGAATTACGTCTCTATTGGCCTGATTTCCTGGCTTCCCAAGACGTGGAAGCTTCCCTGTTTTCAAGCAGCTGTGGTTTCTGGAGGCCATTCTTCAGTCTAGTTTGGAGAAATCCGAAGTGACTCTCCAAGTCATGGTCAGCGCCATCTGCTGGGGGATGGGCCCAGACTTGCCCACTCCTGGAAGTACTACTGCCTTGTGGATCAGCCCATGGGATCTCTGTCTTTGAATGTGGGATGGATAAGGAGTTTGGGGTGTGACCGGCTCCTTCTACCTGCAGGGTGGGGACACAGACCTGATCCAACCCCCTTGTCTGGGGCTGGTCTTGACCCTCTGGGAGATTCCAAGGCTGAACCAGTTCTGAGGGTTTGGGAAGGACCTGACCTGCCTGTAGAGTGTAGGGAGCTGAGCAGTCACACAGCATCTTCAGGTGGTTGTTTTCTAAAACAAGGTCTTCTTGGCACTATGTTTTGAAGTTCTTGGAGACTGATAACCAGAAATGCTATTCATATTAGAAGAAAATATATGGAATACCATTAGTAACCAGATGAGAGAAAATGATTTTGAGCACCGCTATGCTCATTACTCAGTGAGTCGATGTGACTCTGTTGATTTGGAGTGTGATGAACCCTGACTGGCTCCCTAGGACAAGGTTTAGGATTCAGATAAGGACTGTTGTTCCTTTTAAGTAAGGACTCTGTCAGTAGACTTCAAAAAGAGGCCTTCTGATCATTAGGGAACTGTGGAAGAATAAACTTTCAAGCCTTATATCAGAAATTCCTCAGCATATCATTTTTTTAAGTTCATTTATTTATTTTTGAGAGAGAGAGAGAGGGAGGGAGAGAGTGGAGAGGGGCAGAGAGAGAGGAAGAAAGAGAATCCCAAGTAGGCTCCATGCTAATAGCAGGGCTCAAACCCATGAACCGCAAGATCATGACCTGAGCCAAACTCGAGAGTCAGACACTTAACTGACTAAGCCACGTAGGCGCCCCCCAGCATATCTTTCTAAGGAAAGGTCTGTTTCAAGTATGTTCCTTACGCAGTGATGGGGTTGCAGTTACAGCCAAGACAGACACAGTTGCTGCCCTCAAGGACCTTATATTCTAGAGGGGAGGACAAATATTTAACAAAGCCATACTCAGTAATTGGTTCATTAATTCATCACAATGACCATGAGTGGTATAGAGGAAAGGTTTGGGGTGAATGAAGATGTATAAAAGACTTTCTTGAGCAAAGGATGGGTAATCTGAGACCCGGAGGAAAGTAGAAGACAGCATTTGAAGAGGACAGAGCAGAAGGGTGATCCCTGTGGGGAATGAAGCGCAAAGAAGACTCGGAAGTGGGAAGGGCAGGGAGACTCGGGGATGGAACAGTGGCCCTTGTGGCTGCAGCACTGGGAAGCAGAGGGAACACGGAGAAACAGAGTTGAAGGGGTGATCAGAGCCTCACAACATGTGCTGGGGAGTCAGGGCTCTATCCTGAGAGCAAAGGAGGATAATCAAACATGCCCGCACTGACATTTCCACAGAGCTCTCTGGCTGCAGAGTGGCAAGAAGGGACAGAGTGGGGGCACCTGGGTGGCTCAGTTGGTTGAGCATCTGACTCTTGACTTCCACTCAGGTCGTGATCTCACTTGGTGGGTTCAAACCCAGTGTTGGGCTCTGCACTAAGTGTGGAGACTGCTTGGGATTCTCTCTTTCCCTTTCTCTTTGTCCCTTCCCCACTCACTCTTTCCCTCTCTGAAAATAAATAAGCTTAAAAAATATTAAAAAAAAAAAAAAAAAGAGAGAAGTGTGGCTGAGACTGGGTGGCATGAAATGGAAAGTTAAGAAATGGTGGAACCAACAAGATTTGGTTGGAAGAGAGAGAGAGAGGATTAAGAGTGACTCCTAGTAGGTTTGTGGCTGGCTCAGCAAGGGGATTTCTGGTGAGAGAGTGAAAGGAGGGGAGAGAGTGGTAGGAAGGGCGGAGAGTCAGGCTTGGCAGCTGGGAGGCATGATAGAGGCATGTAGGTCCCAAGCTCTGCTTGAGATACTCAGAGTTTGAGGTATCAGTAAGCCATGTGTACAGTAACAATAAGGTAACCAGATGTGCAGATCTGGCCCTGGGAAGACAAGTCTTGGCTGGAGGGAAGCATCTGGGCTTCGTGGGCACACACCTGCATTGGGCTGCAGAAGTGACTATGACTTTGAGGCAGAGAGAGGGTGGGAGGGAAGAGGAGGTCCTCTGAGGGCCCTCAGGGATCCCTCCACATACGAATGGAAGGAGGGGACGCTCGAGGGGGATGAGGCGGACACATAGCAATAAGTCAGCAAGCAGATGGCGGCAGACGTCTGGGACCGTGCCTCTCTCCAAAAGGTAGCAGCCATCTTTTCAAATGATATTAACGATCTGTGTCTTTTCACTTTCCATTCATGCATGCTGCTTATGGATCGTATGAAACAAAATCATGATAACGGATACATTTATTGTGTCTTTCCTGTGTGCTAGCCACCGTGCATGATGTTGAGCACTGCTTACAATATTTAACCATCATACCCATCCTGGCAATGGGATATCACGGCACTATTGTCCCTGTTAACTGAGGAGGCAGCTGAAGCTGAGAGCAGTTTGTAACTTGAGAGTAACCTGAATCCCAGCCCTCTAGGTATTCTTCGGTGGAATCTTCTGGTAATCTACATTGTTTCCATGCTCTAGGATCGCTTCATATCTCTAAATATAGAAGATGGCAATCTCCTGGTGCGCTACAAACTGAATTCAGAGCCACCAAAAGAAAAAGGAGTTACCCACACTGTCAACAACGGAAAAGACCATTCGGTACATCCTTTGAACGTGTTCACGTGAATTGTTAAATGTCCTCAGTCCTTTAGAATTAAGTCAGTGCCAGGACATTTTTCTATTACCAGACTAACTTAACAGTTATTAAAGGATGAGGGACACATCTCTCAAAATCGGAATATTTGGGCATGAAATATATATATGTATATATGGCATATATAAAACATGATTACTTTCAAATGCAAACATTTCTATTAAAATGTTTTAATTTTTTTTTTTTTAACATTTATTTATTTTTGAGACAGAGAGAGACAGAGCATGAACGGGGGAGGGGCAGAAAGAGAGGGAGACACAGAATCGGAAGTAGGCTCCAGGCTCCGAGCCATCAGCCCAGAGCCCGACGCGGGGCTCGAACTCACGGACCGCGAAATCGTGACCTGAGCCGAAGTTGGACGCTCAACCGACTGAGCCACCCAGGCGCCCCTAAAATGTTTTAATATTATATTTTTATCCAAAAGTTCTATGGCTCAGAATCTTCCTACCATCTATATAATGAATCTGAAGGAAATAAAAACATAATAGCTCTGAACCACGGTGAATAGGATGCTTTAATTGCCCATTGCTTGCTGACTCATCTCTCATTTATTTTAGATCCAGATCAAAATCGGGAAAGCCCAAAAACTCATGTGGATAAATGTGAATTCTAAAAAAATCAGAATTGAAGGTGAAATATTCGATTTCGGCACATACTATCTGGGAGGGATTCCAATTTCAATCAGGGAAAGGTAAGACGATGTAAAACAAAACAAAAAACAAAGAGGCAGGTTACCTCTCTTCGTGGTTATGATTGCTAATGATTAGTTTACCTTTTCAAATTCCAGCAACAAACACAAAAAGTTTAACTTCTTAGTGTTAACAGTGTTAGCCAACAGAGTAAAACAGGTTGTGAACACTGGATAATGAGACTGGCCGTTGAAAGGAGAGTGAGGGAATTGTGGGTTACCCCCCCCACCCCGAGGGTCCTTCTTAGGAAGAGAGAAGCCATAGGGAATGTGGTTAGTGTTGACAGTGCTGCAATAAGAATGGAGGCTGTGGCCCTGGGGCCCTTCAAGGTAGCACAGGAGAGCGCAGGCGGTTCCATGGCCTGGCAAGCAGCGCTGGGCACTAAAAGTTGGGGTTGCTGCCTTCAGGAAGTATGTCCAGAATTTCAAGCATGTCTGTATTACTTGGCCTTTTGTGTTATCAAGGACTGAATAGGTACATCACTGCTTCTTGGATAATGAACACATGGATGAATTAAGTTAATGTGAGAGGAAGTGAAGCTTCATCTGAATGAGAAAAAAAAATACGACTTCCAGAATGTGCTTAAAAATAACTTTTACATTTAAACTTGTGTGTATCCGCCAAAAAGGCTTTTAAATAGCTGACAATAGGGGCGCCTGGGTGGCTCAGTTGGTTAAGCGTCTGATTTCAGCTCAGGTCATGATCTTGCAGTTCAGGGGTTTGAGCCCTGCATAGGGCTCTGGGCTCACAGCTTGGAGCCTGGAGCCTGCTTTGGATTCTGTGTCTCCCTCTCTCTCTGCCCCTCTCCTGCTCCTGTGTATGTCTCTCTCTCAAAAATAAATTAACATTAAATAGCTGACAGTAACGTGTGGAAGGACTCCCTGGAAGGTTAGTACAGACTCATGACTGAGTTAAGAGCACTCCCCCATGAAACTGTGTTTATTATGATTATTCTTACGTGAGATCTGAGGATATTGAACTCCTTTTCTAATTTATAAATCAGGTGAAAGGAGTACTAGATGTGGTTTTTAAGGTGTTGTGTGTAGGTGGTCTTTCTTCAGGAATCCTTATACATGTGGGCATCGGTCCATCCATAGTAAAGAGGAACTAATATTCATTTTAAAGTTCTTAAGGTTACCCTCAAAGACGAAAATACAGGTGAGAAAGCTCTACACTTAATAGAGTTTGGGAGTGAATATCTTAGATTCTTTGAACTAGAAAGGACCTTGCATGGGATGCTACCTCTGAATTTTATAGATGAAGGAATTGAGAGCCAAAGAGGAGCCGTTCATATTTAGCATCATCAACATTAAATACCAGTTCAACCATGAATTGCTGTTACGAATGATCAGTAATCTTGATTTTATTCAATTAAATGTGATAAAATAGATTAACTTAAGGAAGTCAGCACTGCTGTGCACATCTGAGATTCCCATTCATTCATTATACAAGTACTCATTGAGTGTCTAGTGACATCAGGCAGTGTGGCTGTTGCTGACAAGGCAATGATGAACTGGCCAGGACCTCAAGTGTAGCAGACGGGAGACCACAGAGAAGCTCAGGGTCCTGTGAGTCCCCCGGAGGGAATCTAATCCGCTTGGGGGCATCAAGAAGGTGGTCTCTGGCTGGGACCTGAAGTATAGGAGCAATCAACATATGTAAAGCGCCAAGAGCTGGAGAAAGTGTGAACTTCCAAGGAACTAGAGGATACTGGCAAAGCAGGCTGGGGGTGCCACATCGGGCTGGTGTGGGAAGCAGGAGCCAGAACACAGAGGACCTTGAAAATCACAGTAAGACAGCCGTTGCTGGGGGGACACCAGCAGAGAAAGGACATTATCAATTTCAACTTCTCAGTAGCTCACTCCAGTGCACGGTAGAGACTGGATTCGAGAGGGAAAAGGCAGAGGCAGGTAGAGCAGTTGGAAGATGAGCTTATTAACAGAGGCAAGAGATGAGGGCAGCCGCAGGGAAGCAGCTGTGCAGATAAGGCAAAGGGCGTAGATGCTTAGTATCATTAGGACAGCAGATGGGTAGTACTGAACGGTTGCTTGGGGCTGGGGAGGGAAGTAGAAAAATGTTCAGGGGTGACACCTGGGTTTTGCTCCAGTGCTTGGCCAGATGGATGGCACTGGCAAGGAGGCACGGGGATGGGTTCGGTCTGAGCCAGGCTGAGTTCCCGGAACCCGAGAGCAGGTGGAGATGCCAGAAAGCAGTTGGACAAAGGCCTGGACCTCTACAGAGAAGTCTGGGCTGGAAAAAGGGTGAATGCAGCTCAGATACAGGTGTTGGTCAAGCTTGTAGGGCAGGTGAGCTCACCCGGAGCACTGAGGAATTCTCGGAGGCAGCGAGGAAGCTACTGGTCAGTGGTTTGCATTTGTGCGGCATTAGCAGAAGACCCACGGGTAGCAATGTGGGTGCCAGTGAGTCAGGAAAGGGTAGTGGGTGATAATCAAGAAGAAGTCATTCTAGTCTTGGCTCAGCCACTAAGGAGCAGTGGGACCTTGAGTTAAGTCAGCACTCAGCCTTTCTTTGCCTTATCATCCCTATCCACTTATGAAATACATATGTGGAAAGGCACCTGGGTGGCTTAGTTGGTTGAGTGTCTGACTCTTGATTTCTGCTCAGGTCTTGATCTCGTGGTTTGTGGGTTCAAACCCCGTGTCGGGCTCTCTGCTCTGACAGGAGAGCCCGCTTCAGATTCTTCCTCTCTCTCTGCCCCTCTCCTGCTCACACTCTCACTCTTTCTCAAACAAACAAACAAACAAACAAACATACATACATAGATATAGTTATGCATATACAGATAGATGTACATACAGAATTTTTCTAGTAATTTTTCTAGTAATCTAGTAATAAATCTAGTAATCTAGTAATCTGGTAAGTCCTAGAGTTTTCCAAACAAGGGACTACTTCTTTTTCTGGGTGAGTTTATACTTTGAGTTTTTACTAAAATCATAAGAACATCTGGGGCACCTGGGTGGCTCAGTCGGTTAAGCATCCGACTCTTGATTTCGGCTTAGGTCACGATCCCAGAGTTGTGGGATGGAGTCCTGAGTCAGCCTGCTTAAGATTCACTTTCCTCTCTCCTCTCTACTTTCACTACTCTGCCTTCATGTTTCTCCCTCTTTTCCTCTCTCCCAAAAAAAAAAAAAAAAAAAGATCAAAAGCAGATGGAAAATGTAAAAGAAAGAAGACAGTCAAAAGAGTTCACTGGCCTTTTACTTCCTTGCAAATAAAATGCTAAGCAATATTGGCCATTTCTGCTCCTGCTTTATCCCTCTGGTGACATCTTTGATGGTCCAGAGAGTCTTGAATCTCCCTGTGATGGGGGCCACTGGGGGGCGGGTGGGCAGACAGGAATCCTACTAAGTACCCACACCCAAGCTCTGTGGGGCAGGCAAACAATCCTTCTAAAGGAGGGAGGTGTTCTGATTCCCACATAAAGGGAAGGCCCTTACAGACAGCAGCACTTAAACCTAGTTTGGAATGAAGGAAGCCAGTTGAATCTCTAAATGAAGCAGCCCTGACCAAGAGGTTTTGTGAGTGCCCTGTTCTGTCCTCTCTCGCTATAATGTATCCCCGTGGGGGTGGGAGCCCAGATCTGGGAATGACTTGTTTAGGATTACAATCAGAAATCATAATCTGTTAATCCCATCTGCTTCCCATGAGAAGAGAAAATCACCCAGGTGATTCCAGAGGCTCTCAAGCAACAGGAAGTCTTTCCTGGGGAAAGACCTACACCATTGTGTCGGTGTAATAATAAACCATTAAAATGAAAATAGTAATTCTTTTTTTTTAGTGTTTATTTATTTTTGAGAGAGACAGAGCGTGAGCAGAAGAGGGGCAGAGAGAGAGGGACGCACAGAATCCAAAGCCAGCTCCAGTCTCTGAGCTGTCAGCACAGAGCCCGACGCGGGCTCGAACTCAAGAACCATGAGATCGTGACCCGAGCTGAAGTCGGCCGCTTAACCCAGGTGCCCCGAAAATAATAATTCTTAAAGTAAAAATCAAGGATCTATTTACTCAGTACCCAGCCCTGAGTTTAGGATTACATTAGGCTCTTACTGCTCTGAAATCTGTCGACCACAGGTTTGGACCAGGTTGGTCTTTGTGAATGGATTGGCCCACAGTGTGCATACATATCCCCGTGCGCTAACCCATTCATACAGTAGCCTGCACCCCTACACAGTCACATTCCTCTCGCAAGCGTGTTCAGCCTTTGCATCCTGGACTCAACGTGGAATTCTAGGCCTTCAGATGAGCCAGAGTGACAAGAACGCGTCAAAGAAGAGTGGGAATAAATCTTCCATCTTAACATCTCCGCTGCAGATAACTGTTCTGTAGAAAGAGTCTCCATTCTTCCAAGTGCTAGAAGTACACAGACGGTGTAAACGTAAAGAGCAAGGACCAGTGTATGTGCCACACCGCTCAGGTCCCAGCACTGAGGTGGCCACTTTCCTGCCGCATGACCTCAATCAAGTTGCTTGACCTCCACATGCCTCCCCATGCTACATCTGGAACATAGTCAGAGGATCTACCTGTCTCTTAGGGCAGGGTGAGGATTCAAAGTGGGTCAAAGAGTCAGCCAGGCAGGTGGTGAGAGCTCAGTAAATGTTAGAGAAGAAAATAGCTCCCTCGAAAGGTTCTGGCGGGGCTGGAATACTAGTGCCTGACACAAAATAAGTGCTCCCTGTCCCCGGCTGCCTTTCTTCTCCGCTTTGCTTTTCTGCTACCTTCTTCCTTCAACTTACACTTGATGGAAAGAAGGACCTCAGGGGATGGTGATGGGTCTAAACCGTGTGGAAACCCCACAGAGAATGGATTTTAAAATATGTGTAAATAGACAAGCTCCAGGAATGAATGCAAACTTTCTTTCTTTTCCAAGGCAAAAAGCCATCTTTATAAAATAATTAAGCTCAAGCTGCAATGCCAGCGAGGATTCATTTCTTCCTTTTCGTTCTAATGAAATTTAATTGTATGCATATTACATGTAGCTCAACTATTTATAATGACTTGAATAAAAATGAATACAGATACCTTTCCACTTAGAAAGGTGAGCTGCCTTAGGGATTTATAAGGAAATGAACCTTGGGGTTTTCTTAGTTACATCATTTGTTTAAGAAATGACAACTATTTGCCTGGACTCCAGTCAGTTCATGTGTGTTAATGGTGTATGTGAAGTCAGCTCCAGACAGATGCAAAAGTCAAATCCAAAGGGAAATGCAAAAAAAAAAAAAAAAAAAAAAAAAAAAAAGGAAAGAAAGAAAGAAAAAGGAGTGGGGAATGCCAAGGTAGCCACATAGGCAGAGTTGCTGCAGCAAGAAATTCCTCTCATTACGATGACTGTACTCATATGGGGAGAGTTACTCACCCTGGCATCTCACGTGGAGTCCTTGCTCTATACTGGGCATCATTTGAGTATGTTACACATATTAACCCGCTTAAATTCATGACAACCCGATGGAACAGATGAACATGTTCCCATCGTAGAAATGAGGATACAGAGGCACAGAATAGTTAGATCGCCTGCTCAAACCACAGGGACAGGCCTTGAACCCAGGCAGTCTGGGTGCAGAGCCCTCAGTTCTAGTGCAGCAGAATACGCCTCCCGCACTCTCACAACTGCATGCCACACCCAGTGCCCAGCAATTCCAGTGCATTCACTTTTTGTTGTTGTTGTTGTCGTTTGTTTATTTATTTACTTTTGAGAGACAGAGCACAAGCCGGGGAGAGGCAGAGAGAGAGGGAGACACAGAATCCGAAGCAGGCTCCAGGCTCTGAGCTGTCAGCCCAGAGCCCAACAAAGGGCTTGAACCCATGAACTGTGAGATCATGACCTGAGCCCAAGTTGGACGCTTAACTGACTGAGCCACCCAGTCAGTCCCCATGAACTTGTTTAATCCTCACAGTGCTTTCCGTTGTTCTGGCCTGGCATCGATTCAATACCAAGCCACATTTTTCATCATTGACTAGAACACAAATTTTACAGTTTGTTTCTACTGAGTTAACGGTGACTAACTTAAAAGTGGATAGAAAAAAAAAGAGCTAGGAGTTTTCTAGAGCATTCTCGGGTCTAATAAGTGACTTCTTTATTAATATATATTTATATAATATTGATAGTATACTAATTTGTTAATATACTTCCTATTCACCATGTACCACCATTACTCTGGAAGGGGAGTGGGCAATTCTAGATCTTGTACATTTTCTGTCTCTATACTTTTTGAGGGCACTGGCCATTCTTCTGTCAACACTATCATGTTTATTTTTAAAGCTGAGAATGCAGAATCACACTGAAAGGAAGTAGATTTTCTCAGCTTCACAAAATAAGTAGTGTTACAGAAATCCCATGAGAACAGACACCCGTAAAATAAATACCTGTTTATGGGTGAAAAGTAGCAGACAAAGTAGAGAGTTTCAGGTCTGATTCTCAGACAAGCCTGGTCTGGTACACCTCTTCCTTTTTTGTACCCCAAATCAGGTTTAACATTTCTACACCTGCTTTCCGAGGCTGCATGAAAAATCTGAAGAAAACTACTGGTGTTGTTAGGTTGAATGACACTGTGGGAGTAACAAAAAAGTGCTCAGAAGACTGGAAGGTGAGTACTGAAAACCTTGTAGAAAAGTACTGCTCCCCATCCAAACCATCTTTGGTATTCATTTACACATCAACTTTTGAGTCTCCCAGTAGCACACAGTATTATGATGAAATGGTTCATTTATACTCCCTACATATTTGCAAGATACAGAACGCCTTCAGGTTTGCAAGTTAAATTTGTAGGAAAAAAGGAATACCGACTATACACACAAAAACGCAGATGATTGGTAGATTATCATGCAGAAAAGCAAACTCTGTTTTTTTTCCCGAGGCAACATAAACCACATTAATCAGCTCAGGTGAAGTGACATAGAATAAGATACTGGATTTCAGCCATGAAATGATTCCAATGTCAATAATGTATTCTGTGTTTGCCTTTCAGCTCGTGCGATCTGCCTCATTCTCCAGGGATGGACAATTGAGTTTCACCAATTTGGATTTGGCTTTTCCCAACCACTTCCAGGCCTCCTTTGGATTTCAGACCTTTCAACCCAGTGGCCTATTATTAAGTCACCAGACAGAGGTATGAAATATTGCATGAATACTGAATAAGATTTAAACCCGACTCAAAGTTTGATGTCAAAAACAGTAGAGAGATTTTGAAGGTAAATTAACTAGGCATTTTATCCATCATCACAGGGTGAAGGACATTGTATATTTCAACATGGAGGTTATTCTTCTTCCTGGGACAAGTCCTAAAAGAAAAAAGGCTTAGGAAGTACATTATGGTTTACAGAATTGAATTTATATGTATTCATGGACCCATTTTCATTTCTCTTGGGTTTATTTTAGGAGTTAATGTGAATTATACTGTTATATGTAATGATGTAGCTTAAAGTTTTAGATATAAGAAAAAATCAGAATATATCCCCACTATTCTTTTTTGATTCTACAAAAGATAGTTCTTCAGATTCCTTTTTTGCATAATCAGCTAGTTGTACAATATTTACATCTCGGGAATAAGGTCCTTTGCTTTTTGTTCATGTACAACAGCAGGACAGAATTCTCTTCAGCAAGAAGGTACCCTCTGTAGATTTATAGGGTTTCACTCGTGTTGTTATACAGGGGTAGAAGTCAACTAATAGGTAGAAATCCCCTCGTAGAATGAGGAGGGGGTGTAAAATAGAGGTAGAAGTAGAATACTGACATTCTTGGATTTGTTTCTTCAGGATTGCCAACACAACACAACACAACACAACACAACACAACAGGCATCCAACATTCGTTGAAAGACAGAATGGTAGCTGACTGTGTGATTCTGTGGCTATATCATATTAGAAGGTCTCTTTTCTCGTGATATAGTTGCTCAATCAGCCTTTAGAGATCTTTTTTTTTTAACTACCCCCTGAAGAAGCACGTGCCAGCATTTTTGACTGCAAGAATGCCCTTTCTGTCAAAGTAGGATGATATGACCTAGTTCTTTTGACACCCAACATTTGTTTCCTTTGCTGAGGATAAGGATACTGAGTATACAGTATACAAAACGGTCGAAAGCCGGTGTAAGAGTTGACTTAGCAAAAGAGGAGATCAATCCTAGACCTAGAAATCCTAGAAATATCCTAGGAACATTGCCCTCAACTTCATAATGGGTTAGCTAAGAAATACATATAAACTGGCATTCTTTTATCCAATTTATAATGAATAGTACCAACTGAAAAAATCAAAATATAAAGCTGACAATGGCTACAACCACATGCTGTAAAAATTGTTTTAGCCTAAAGCTCATTATTGAAAATTGCAAAAAACAAAACAAAACAAAACAAAAAACCTGTACATGGTAGAAGAAAAAACAACAGGAAAATTCAAATGACAACTACTGACTCTACACATATTTTTTAATTAAGAATCCACAGAAAGAATCTAATCATCTTGCCAAAATTTAGATCTGCAGAGTTTGATGTCAGAAAATTGAACCTCCTTGAAATTATGACCAGAAAATAAAAAATTCCTAATGACTAAAGAAAAGATATCATTGTTATGATCATATATGGAAAAACAGTTGATGAATGAAACCTTCATCACACGATTGAGGAAAGAGTTGATCCTGATGAAAATAACATAAGCACATTGAAAATAGAAATAGAAACATTTAGAGATGGCTTAACTGTTTTGTGTAATTGATGGAGAAGTTAAATTGGTTTATGAATGTAGTTCCATAAAATGCTTTTGACAGATTCATCGGTGTTTAAACAATTTGGATAAGACTTTTATATTCATAAACACGGAGTCAAAATAATCAAAAATAATCTTTAGCTCAAAATAGCAAAGTCAAAACATTTGGGTCAAACCCACCTAACTGTTTTATGCATGGTTTTGATCAGAAATTCAGTATTGATACACCTGTAATCTTGAAATAGAAATTAATGACATTGACAGGCATATGCTGTGATGATTTCAGGCAAATAACCTGCAGGTCACCCTGGAAGATGGTCACATTGAACTGAACACCAGGGATGGAAGTAGCCCCATTTTTAAATCCCCCCAGACGTACATGGATGGTTTGCTGCATTACGTATCTGTAATAAATGATGACTCTGGGTGAGTAGAATGGCCCTTCTGCCAGAGCTCTTGAGACTTTTATTTCGTTTAATGGAATTTTCTAGTATCTTTTTTGTGAAGTATGTGTCCTTGATGCTGACACTGTTTTCCTAGTGAGATTTGCCTTCTTCCTGGTTCTGGATCAATTTCCTCATAAAAAAAAAATCAATCAATCAATCAACCATGGGATGGATATACAAATTGTGGTATATTCAAAATGCAGGAGTGAAACGGGTAACAAGCAAAAAGATCTACCACTGTGTGGGGTGACATGAGTGAACTTCCCAGTGTACTGCTGAGTGAAAGAGGCTGCACATAAAAGAATCATCTCCTATGATCTCATTTCTATAAAATTCAAAAACAGGCAAAATTAATTTCTTTTCTCAGTGTTCAGGATAGTGGTCATACCCTTGGAGGGAGAGAAGCAAGCACAAGGCAGGGTTCCTGGGTGCTGGTCTGTTCTGCTTCTTTATCTGGGCGCTGATATCATTGGTATATTCACGTTGCAAAAAATTCACTGAGCTGTACACAGGATATGTGAACTTCCTGTACGTATAGAATACTTTAACAAAAATCTGTGCCAGAGAAATACATGGAAAAAAATGGAAGTGCTCTTTAAAAATAAATCTGGTCTAACAAGTTACTTTAGGTTAAAGATACTGAGTCTGAATCGAAGACAGTAAGTTGACCACATGATGAGAAACGTTTCTTCCCTGCAGTTCTCACTCTTGTTTTGTCTTCCTCCTCTTCCAGACTCCGGCTTCTCATTGATGACCAGCCTCTGAAGAATAACCACAGGCTAAGACACTTGTCAAATTCCCAGCAAACCCTGCGTCTGGGCGGAAGTCACTTTGAGGGTTGTATCAGCAATGTTTTTATCCAGAGGTGCGTCCTTTCCTGTGTGTGGCTGTGGGTGTGAGAGCCGCCTGCCTACAGGGAGGGCATCTCCTTGCTCTGGTAGCACAGCTGGATGTGTCACCACGTGCTGCACCAGGCCCTCATTCCACAAACTTGCCCGTGCCTTCTTAGACAAGATACACACGTTAAAAACAAACCACCTCCCACAAAAACTTCCCTGCCTCCCTTTGTGGGAGCAGCTTTGGCACATAACCTTGGAAAAGGTCTTATCAAAATTAATTTTTGGATGATGGCCCTGAGAATTTTCCAAACTGAAATTTCACTTCATTTGAATCAAGACTGCACATTTGATTTAATCAGAATCTGTCCCATTTTGGGGGCTGACGGCTTGCATGGGCCAGTGTACTGCTGGGAAACCAGACCACCATACTGTCAAACTCAAACGTGTCTCTCTAAGAGAGAGGAGCCTGGTGCTAGCGTGCAAATGTTTAGATGTTCTTTTCTTTTGATTCAAAATAATCACCTTATTTTTCTTTTATTTTGTTTGTTTATTTAATTTTTTTTTAATGTTTGTTTATTTTCGAAGGAAAGAGAGACAGAGCGTGAGCAGGGGAGGGGCAGAGAGAGAGAGGAAGACACAGATTCTGAAATGGGCTCCAGGCTCTGAGCTGTCAGCGCAGATGCTGACGCGGGGCTCGAACTCACAAACCATGAGATCGTGACCTGAGCTGACGTCGGTCGCTCAATCGACTGAGCCACCCAGGCACCCCATAAGTTTATTTACTTATTTTCAGAGAGAGAGAGAGAGAGAGAGAGATAGCACACAACCCGGGGAGGGACAGATAGAGAGAGGGAGAGAGAGAATCCCAAGCAGGCTCTGTGCCATCAGCACAGATGATCACTTTTAGATAAAAGGCAAAGCCCTGCCCAGGGCAGAAGGGGATCCCAGGACTGGTAAGGAAACTCAGGCAACCTGTTGGGAGCTCGGGGGCTCCTATTTTCCATCAAGGCTCAGACACCAATCACAAGATAAAGCAGATTTATCTGTGAGACTCCCCTACACAAGTGCACAAGATAAAAAGCCTTCTACAAACTCACTTCTGAGGTTCCTGATGTCCACCATCACTCTAGATCATCGACACCCACCTTTCTCCTCTCTGCATATTTCATTTTCATATTTCTAGATGACACCTGTTCCAAAGAAAGAGCTGTAGTATACTGGCTTTGCCCCAGCCCTAACCATTTAAGTGAATACAGTTTCTCAGGCCTTTCTGCTGGTAAGACACCGTGCTGGGTATTTTAGGGAATGCAGACATGGGTAACAGCACATCCTCCTTTTCTGAGCCCAGTGCCTCCTCTAGACACAATGTACAGGTAGGAGAGGAAAGTTTACCTGGAAACCATGACAGTAAGAACGTGTATTCTTAAAGCAAGTTCTCGTGCCAGTGCATCTTCCTTGAGATGTCAGAGTTTGGCAGTGGTTTTCTTTTCTGCCCTCATTCCAGGCTCTCAGAGAGACCTGCAGTCCTGGACTTGGCCAGTAAATCTACCAAGAGAGGTGTGTCCCTGGGAGGCTGCAGTTTAAATAAACCACCTTTCCTCATGTTGCTTAGAGGTTCTACAAGGTTTGACAAAGCCCACACTTTCAGTATCAACCAGGTAAGTGTACCCTGCACTGGCTTTTGCTTCTCCCCAGAGGATTCTCGTGAGCGATTCTTACCCCACATGAGATGTTGGGGAAAGGGCTCAGGTGGTGTTAGGGGTGCAGATCACCTGATCCCTTGGTGGTCAGTGCCTCCAGGAAGGGTGGTCAGTGCCTCCAGGGATTGATAGGTCATCAACAATTGGATTATGCCAAAATGTGGAAAAGGTTTCCGTTTTAGCTTTTGTTTTGTATCTTGATGAAAATTCGGCAATTTTTTGTAGACAGAACAAATTGAATCTCAGGTTTCTCAATTCCCATACACAATGTCTCGCTCTTTTGATATTCCTGTTGTGTACCCAACAGGTATAGTGATTTTCTCTAGAATACAAGGGTCATGCCCCTTCCCCTCCCCATAGACAACCCTCCACCCTGGCTCTTAAGACAACATAAACACATGCACCCAGGCCTTGCCAATACCAGTGTGGTTTGACCTTGACTGCACACTGGAAACATCTGGGGAGCTTTTAAAATCCCAGTGCTTGGGTTGCATCCCACCTAATTACATCAGATGCTCTTGAAATAGGTCCAAGTGGCAGGAGTTTGTAAAGCTTCCAGGTGATTCTACTTTGCAGCACTAAGGCTGAAAGGAAGTAAAATCTCTTGTTTGGAGGAGTAGAAGCATTGTAATGAATTGGACACAGCGTTAGGACTTAAAGAATTCCTTGCTGTGGCCGAGGTCAACACTATGACCTCCCCGTGTCTGAGGTTACAGTTAATACGATTAATGGGTATTAGTGAGCACCTCCTATGCGCCGGGCATTGCGCTAAGCTCTTCAAGTGGCTTTTCTTACTACATCTGCAAGTAACCTTGTGAGGGATGTATTATTACTGTACTTCTATATGACCATACTACAGTAATAGTACCAAGCAAGTATATTACTAGCCACATCTTACAGAAAAAGATGCAGCAGTTTAGAAAGATAAGCAATTTTCCCAAGCTCCCACAGATAGAAGGTGCAGTAGGAATTCAAAACCAGATAGCTTGATCCCACAGCCTGCACCCTCCTAAGAGCAATGTCCTTCTGTTCAGCACACTTTTCTCTCAACGTCAACCCCCATGCTACTTGTCTGCCAATATTTCCCTTGCTGCACAGTGATTTGGAGAAGTTGAATAGATAGTCCATAATAAGAAATGTTTTATGCTACTACGAAGAAATATACTTTATAGAGGGTAGTCATTTTGCTGATATGAAAACAACATCTTTAGGACTGCTCCATCAGGAATGAAATCATATATTCATTTTTTTTTTTCATTGTAAGGCTGAGAGTTACTGAGAGGCTAAATTAACACAGTGATGGTAGAGATGGAGAGAAGGAAAGGGGTTCAAAGCTATTTAGAAGATAGAATATACAGGACCCAGATGATAATTGAGTGTGGACGGCAAGGGAGAGGCAGGAGTTAATGTAATTCTGAGACATCTAGTCCGGGTTATTGGAGGGGTGGAGATGCCATTTCATGGACATAGAAGAAGGACAAGTATTTGGAGGAAAAGAGACTGGGTGGACTATATTGTATATTGAGTGACAGGTGCCTAGAGGACATCTACAGAGAGAAAGCCATCAGGGACTGTCTCTGAGTGGGCCTCAGTGGATGGGGGGGCAGAGCCTGGGTCCACCGATACCGGAGCTGCCAGTGAATACGCTGTATTTAATTGTGCCCCTGTTCTGTGCAAGCCCCCAGATTCGACGGAATAAGACATTAATTTTGCCTCCAAAAGCTCAATAATAGAAAGAAAGCAACAAAGCTTTGTGGTTAAGTACTAGACTTGGGGGTCAGACTTACTGGGTTTGCACCGGGCTTTACCACATATTAGGTGTGTGGCCGTGAATGATTATTTAACCTCTCAGCGGGTCTATTTCCTGAAACACAAATGCAGATATATAAAGTAAGATCTCCTAGTGTTGTTGTGAGGGTTAAAAGAGGTGCTAAACATACAACATGTAGAAAACTGCCTGGCACGTGGTAAGCATGTGATAAATATCGGCTGTTATTATTATACACACTAATAACCTCAGTGAAAACAAAAAACGTGCAGCAGGCAGGAATTTCCCTGCCCCACAAATCAGGGGGATTCTTCTGGAGGAGGTGACACACGAACTGGGTCTGGAGCATGGGTTGGATTTAGACAAGTAGATGTTGCTTTGCACGAGCAGAAGCCCGAAGTCAGGAGGCAGGATGTGGGTGTAACTCGGGTGCATGACACTTCCCGTACATCTCTCTGATCGTCACCAGTCTGCGTACTCTCTCTTTCGGTTCTCACCACACCCCTCTGAGAGCAGAATAAAATGCCAGCTCTACAGGTCAGGAAACGGAGTCTCAGAGAAGTTTTAAAAAAAAAAAAAAGGCAACTTGCCCAAGAGCACCCAGCCAGTACACGGTAGACTCAGAATTCAAACTTAGAGCTGTAGATCTCAAAGAATGTTCTCTTCAGACCACATCCTGTGGCCTCGACAGGGTTGGAAAGCTTGGTGAACAGGGGAAATTGGGTAGAGGAAGGGGAGTGACAGAGGTAAGCTCAGAATTCCACATCTGAGCCCCATCAGGGATAGGATGACCTAATGTAATTTTGACATTTTTCTGTAGTCAACATGAAGCCTTTGAAAGGATTGCTTTAAACCATGTTTAAAGAGTAACAGGCAGCAGCCTGTGGGATGGTTTGATGAGGGAAAGTTCTATAGACAAGGAGTCAAACTGGCAAACTACTGACAAAGTCCAGGCAAGAGAGTCAGGAGTCTGGCTTTCAGGGCAGAGGGACTGGGAGTGGCAGTTGTGTCACAGAAATGAAGTAGGACATGGAAACTGAACTCAGGGAAGAAACAAGGGAGGTGGGTGTCCATGATGGCCAACATGTAGGGCCTGGGTGCCTTGAAGGAGGTCGGTGCCATTATGAGAAGGAAGAGTTGGTGACAAAAGGTATTTATGAAAACTCTTCATCTCGATGTTACTGCTATTGCCACACAAAGAAGACTCAGGGAGGGAGCGAGGCCCCAGTAAGGAAGCTCCATTAGGATCCAGGGTGGGCTGGATGTGAAGCGGTTTTAAGCAATGGTGGGTATGATTGCCCATCTCCACTCAGCAATGTGTCAACACAAAACATTTTATTTTATTTTTTTTTTAATTTTTTTTTCAACGTTTATTTATTTTTGGGACAGAGAGAGACAGAGCATGAACGGGGGAGGGGCAGAGAGAGAGGAAGACACAGAATCGGAAACAGGCTCCAGGCTCTGAGCCATCAGCCCAGAGCCTGACGCGGGGCTCGAACTCACGGACCGCGAGATCGTGACCTGGCTGAAGTCGGACGCTTAACCAACTGCGCCACCCAGGCGCCCCAACACAAAACATTTTAAATAAGTGGTATCGAGTTTCTATTCCAAACACCCTGTCCAGGAATCAGGTCCAGGAGGGTAACCTGATCTTGGAGGAATTTAAATTTGGAAGCCTTTAGCCATTAGCTCCAAAGTAAAATGGTTTACGATAAGAAGATCTATAGGGTCACATAATGGACAGTTCAGGGACAGGTAGTGTTTGAGGCCTGGCCCATCTCAGCTCCATCCTGCGTAGTTCAGGGCTTCGTATCCTCACAGGATAATGCTCAGCACCAGACCCATGGATCAGCTCGTCTTTGTTAGCAAAGACGTATTTCTCAGAGGCCCCATCCCCTGTTTCCCCTCAAGGTTCATTGTCCAAGAGGGAGGTCACATGTTCATTCCTCAACCTGTCCCTGGCACAGCGAATCCCCGCCCTTCACTTTGACAAATAGAGAACCCAGCGGAGCACTGGGTCTTGTGGGGGCTGTGGACACATGATCGCAATCTGGGCTCCACAGAGCAGAGAAAACGGGAGAACAGCTGGAGAGTCTCAGTTTCTAACAATTTTTCCATCCCTACTTGATATTTATTAGTTATTTTTTGGCATTAAAACTCAGTTCTGTTCAAAAGCTCAACGTGTCATCTAGCCCAGGACACATTTCTGTGCATAGGTCAATTCTGACTAATGTGGAGACAGGCCATGCCTCCCTCCCCACCCCACACCTTCTGGTTCTTGCTCTCTGTTTCTTTCACTGTCCTGCTGCACAAACCCAAATGAATGGCTCCAAGGAGAGGTGGTAGGCTGGTGGCTCCGTGTCCTAATGGCTGGCATGGCATGGCATGCTGCTGCCAAATGCTGGCTCTCTCAAGGGACATGACGATTATTCCACGGCTCCATGGTGGGGAGGGACTCTGGATACCCGCGGGTCCCAGGTGCAGCAGCTGTCAGGAAAGAGACCAGACTTGTATTGGATGGGAAGAACATGCATCCTCCCCGAGGATGAATTCATCTCTATTGAATTAATCTCCTAGGATCACAGTAAAAACTGCGAGAGCCACTTAGCAAGATAAGTATTCTTTACTCTTCCCCCTGATGATTAGCTGTCCTCAGTTTTTGCTTCTCTCCCTGGCAGCCATTGCGGGACACACCAGCGGCCTCCCCAAGGAGCATGGAGGTGTGGCGAGAGGCCCAGTCTTGCCGGCCACCTCCCCGGGCCCAGGCCAGTCACGGAGCCCTCAGGTTTGGGGACCATCCCACCAGCCACTTGCTCTTCACGATTCCCCAGGAGTTGCTGGAACCCAGGTATTTGTTAATTTTCCTGCCCCCACACCAACTCAGAACCTGACTCGACAGTTGTGCCCCGGAGCAGGCTAGCCAGCGGGACACGATGCACCTGTCCCTAATGAAGCGGCACCACCACTTCTGTGAAAGAAGGTGCTGGCCCCCACAGGACGGGGAGCGTGACTGCCCGAGCGTGCGCCCTCCCCGCAGCCGGAATGCACACACGGTGGGGGCTGCTCGGCAGCCAAAACAACCTTCCCAACCCCCGGCCAGCCCTGGTGGAGGATTGACGGTGTTCTAAAAATAAGACTGACACTTCTTTTCAAAGCTGCTATTTATTTCTATTATAAATCACCTTTCTTGTCTGCATTCTATAGGCAGAGAAAAATAATCCTTTTAAGTAGACTCAGTGCCAGATCATATTTAGAGACCACTTTTGGACTTCTTGTGCTAACAAGTCGCATCACTTTTGGGGAGGAGGAAGTGAAGACATATTAATTATGTTGGATAAAAGTAGGAAAACAAGGTTTGCCATTTTCATATGATTCAGAGACATAAATAACAAGGTGCCACAATTCTGTGATGGTTTATGTCCAGAAGCAGAATTTCCCAGGGGTCAAAAAGGCCTGGCTTTGAGACTGAGGTTCAGTCCCCACACAGCCACTTGCTGGCTGTGTGACCTCGGGCCATTTGCCAGTTCGGTCCTCTGGGATGCACATTCAAGATGGGATTAGACGTGCAAGAGATGTATTGTTCCTGTGGGAGATAAAGGTGGAGGGAGGGGAGCTGGCAGGGAGAGCCTTCGGCTGAGACGGGAATGGCGCCGTTAACCATGGGGCAGCAGCAAAGCAAAGGTCACCCCTTAGAAGAGTTGAGCATAAATGGCCTGGCTCTAGTTTTGCTGCTGAGCTCAGTTCTTGGCTGGGAGTCATCCATATGCCACTGCAGACCTGAGGGCACGGCAGAGGGGGGCTGCCAGCCACCGCACCCCCACAGCACATTCACTCTGGAGCTTGGAGCAGCAAATCCGCGGACACCATAGGCTAGAGTTCAGCTTCTTTAAGCCTCAGCTTTCTCTCCGTAAACTTGGCATCATTATGCTTGTCTTGCATGTTTTTGCAAGTTGCTACATCTCTTTGAATCTCCATTTTCTCTTCAGCTAAATGTTGATAATGCTTTCCTTGCAGGGAGGAGACGTAGTAGCTTGCAAGGGGCTGGCCCTCACATGCTCAATAAGCAAAGTGCACGATTCACAGGCAGATGTGAAGGCCGGAAAAGGGAAGGGTGGAGTTTGGAAGGAGAACCCTATGCCAGCAGCTCCCCAACTCCAACTGGGATCCCTGATTTGCCAGAACTGTGCTAGTGGAGGCTAAGAAGTGGCGTCCCACTCAGTTATTAGCCCTTCCCGGAGCTACCTGTTGGGAGGAAGCCCCCACTCCCGCTGACTGTGCTCTTGGCCAAGCTGAGCTTAATGACCATGATCTCTGTGCAGATGCTCCCGGCCTCCCCTCCCACCTGCCTGGGCTCGGAGGCTTCTCTACCAGCCCTGCCCTCCCCTCTCCCTGCAAAGCTGCCTTCTGTCTTACATCTTCTCTCTCATCACGTTCAGTGTGGTGAGTCCTCTGGCTTCTTCTGAGGATTTGACCCCAGTACCTTCCCTTGCAACACTAAATTATATGTAATAAATGGGAAAACGAACATTTTTAAAGGGAAAGTGGAAAAGAATAATCATTGGCAGATGTAACTTTTGAATTCTATTAGTCTCAAATATTCTAGCAATCGGAGTGTATTTCCAGGATGCTACCAGTCCAGAATATGGGCTCTTCCATCGTTCTCATTCTAATTTATATCCCGGCAATTTTTGGCCTCTCCTTTAAAATGCTGCACCACTATTTTATCCTTGTGACGAATGCATAAAAATGCCACTTCGCTCCCTGCCTTATTCTCCTATCCACCAGCAATGAAGCGTCATAGCTACAGTATCATATGCTGGGATTTGAATATAGTGCCGTCTTTTTTGGGTGTTAGTCAGTTAGCCTTTTATGAAAGAAAGCTGCTTTAAGAAATAACTCTGAAAAGCAAATGTCAAGTCTGATAACCAAGCCCACATATGTAAAGTACTTTAATTCTGTAGCAAGTTCGAATATCCTCCTTAAATTGGCTAACCCTCATTCTCTAAACCTCCGCACGCAGCTACACCAAGAGAAATATTGAGCGGTGTCACCATCTGGTTGGTTTAATTTAACAAATATAGATTTCTTTTTCATTTTGAAGAACATCACCCTCAAGGAAACTTGCTAATCTGAAAAATTAAAGCATCTCAGTGTTTGCTCAACCTCACAGTATTAAAAAGCAAAGAGAAGTAACAGTGTCATTTTTTTCTTCCGCTTCCTGGTTCTGCCTCTGAGTTTTCCATTTACCATTTCATTCCGCTATTCAGTTAACTATTCAGTTCAGCTGAACTATGTGTTGACTGCCTGCTGTGTACAAGGCACTGGAGATAGAGCTTCAAGCAGGAGAGATCTAGTTCCTGCCCTCTGTCTGGGTTGCGCTTAGACATAAACCAAAAGGAGTGGATGATGACAGCCTACTGGTAACCTGTGTCCTCCACCACCTTGTCACGCTGCACTTTTAGGTACCCCTGTCAGTGCACCCATGCATCAGAAACAGCTAAGAATGAAACATCCATCATTGTATTCCCAGTGCCCACCACAGGGCCTCATACATACTACACTCTCATTAAATATTGTTGGATGAATGAATAAATGGGTGGATGGGTGGGTGGGTAAGTGAGTGAATGTGAGTTCTCCTGCAAAATTAATCTTGCTCAACCAGATGTGCATATGATATGTAACCATCATGCAAAGGAATATTCACTTTCATTCTGTGCTTTTACTGCGTGATGCTTGCTTAATTCCTGTTCCATTGTAGCTGGGATATTAAGGTCCAAGAAACATAAAGGTGGATGGGAGAAAGTGGGTCTGTACTTTCCCACCTCTGTGTTAAATATGTCTAACAGAAAGAAAATGCTTACCTGATGCTTAAATCAAATCCTTGTTATTCAAATTACTCCCCCCCCCTCCACACACACACACAACTTCCCCTTACAATGTTCCACTCCTTGCACACATACAAAATAGAATGATATTCACTGGGTTAAAAAGTTACTGGCTGCTAAGTGAAATGAGTTGTTAGGCACAGAAAGGCGAATACTGTGTAATTTCACTTATGTGAGAGACCTCAGTAATCAAATTCAGAGAGACAGGAAGTAGAATGGCGGTCACCAGTGGTACAGAGGACAGGGAATGCAGAAGTGTTGTTTGCTGGGTACAGAGTTTCAGTCTTGCAAGGTGAAAAGAGTTCTGGACACTGGTTGCACAGTCATGTGAACGTACTTAATGCTACTATACACTTTATAAAGGTTGAAATGGCAAATGATGTATATAACTTACCATGATCTGTTTAAGTGCAGATCTTTTTTAAACAGTAGGGCATCTTCGTTCTTGGCATATGCTGGAGCTTACACCACCGTCCAGGTTTACCCTAGAGTTTGCTCATTATTCCCCAATAGAGTAAGAAAATTATACATAAAACTTTTAACAGCTAGGCTACAATGGCTTTTAAAAATTTCTAAAGAAATAGGTCATTTAATCAGTACATGCCTTAGTTCATGCATTTGAATCATGGGGGTTTGGGTGTCTGTGCCTCATCCCCTCTCCTGGCTTCAGGGACTCAGAAGAACACTAAACACGTCTATTCTCCTTCTTTGCCTTTTGCTTTATTTTCCTGACAGGTCACTGTTTGCTGTGGACGTGCGGACAGCCTCCTCCAGAGGGCTCGTGTTTTACACGGGCACTAAGAGTTCCTATATGGCTCTTTATCTTTCAAAGGGACGACTCATCTTTGCTTTGGGGGCAGAAGGGAAAAAGCTGAGGCTCAAAAGCAAAGAGAAGTGCAATGATGGGAAATGGCACACGGTAAGACCTGGGGCTGTGTGAACCCCTCCCCCTGCTACAGAATTCACTATGGAGTACCTGGAAAGGAGTGTCCACATTCTGCCAGCCACAGAAGGACAGCGCTGGGAGAGCCCGTGTGGCCGGAGGCACTGGGCACCCCCATGTCTTCGCACAGGAAATGGCTGCATGTGCCGGGCGAGGATGATGTGCACGGATGCCTCAGTGCCCAGATGGGCTTTACTGACCACTTCTTCGGGGTCCTTGCCCTGCCTCCCTGGGCTGTGTCCCCTACCCCCTCCCCACCCCTGCTTCCTGGACAATTTCTGTCTGTCAAGACCATGTCTGGGTCTCCAGGCCCCTCTCTGAGCCTGGAATGCCTTCTGGATAGCACAAGCTTAAAGACCGAGATCTCTAGCATTCCAGATCTTCCCTGAAGGCATCCAGATTTGAAGAAAAATTCAATTTAAGACAAAAGGGACCTTTTTTTTTTCCTGATGAGGGAACTAGATCTCAAAAAACGTAAGCAGCTTGACAAGTTATATTCACTTAGTCTTTCAACAAATATTTAATGAGCTGCCATCCTAGAGCACATAAACAAATATACCCGATATAATGTCAGATATTGGTAGGTGCTTGGAGAAAGCATTAGAGCAAGGTAAGGAAGTGGCTGAGTGTGGGAACTATTTCAGATAGGGTAGTAAAGCAAAACTTCCTTTGGGAGGTGACAGTCACTTGAAGTTATAGAAAGGGTGATCCAGGCAGAGGGAACAGCAAGCCCAAAGACCCTGAGATAGGGATCAGTTGAGTGAACAGAACAGAAAGGATAAGAGGTGGGATTCAAGAATGAGGCAGGGCCCAGATCATACCAGCTTTGAAACCAAGGTGAGGACTCAGATTTTATTCTGAGTGTCTCTGACGCTTCTGAAGAGTATTAAACTAAAAAAGGACCATTGCATGAACAGATGTATATTTTCAAAGCTGCCTTTAGCTTGAAGAGATGAAGTGGGGGTAAGCATGGAAGTAAGGCAGCCAGATGGACGCTACTGCCTTTGCTTCAAGAGGCCTCCACGATCGTGGATAGAAGTGCACTGTCCAGGATGTGCTCTGAAAACCGAGAGGGTTTGCTGGTGGATTGCACGTGGAGCGTGAGAGAAAGAGGAGTCAGTATCAAGTCCTGTGATTTGGGGCCAGCAGTTGGGTCAACAGAGGGACTGGTACTGGGACGCAGGAACTGTGGCCGGGGAGGGAGCATTTTAGAGCTGGGGAAGAGGACGGGTTCTGCTGTGAACATCCTTGGGGTGAGTTGCCTGTCAGACATTCAAGCCCAGCTGTCAGTAGACAGGTGGAGAGGCCAGAGGTCACAGCTGGGAGTATAAGCTGGGGAGTCATTAATGAATAGTCTCGTAGCCATGAGATGGCAGGGTCCACCCCAGACATTTAGCAAAGAGTTTAAAATGTGTGCTCCCTTTTAGTAAAGAAGTAGCCACTGGCCCCTTGCTCTAAGAGCCGTGTGGAAGGGAGATGTTTCCCTTCTTAGCTCTGCACAAACTATTCCTTGCCCTTTGTTGCCTGGGTGTGTCTTCATTTATACTCCTGTGGCTCTTCATTTGTTTCTCTTTTGCATAAGTTTCTAGATCAAGTGTATCTTTTTAGTAATTGACTTTCAAGGAATCTTTTTTTTCAAATTTCACTTTTCTAGCTTACTCTATTCAATATCCACCATAATCCCACAAAATGGTGATGATGATGACAATATTAGGGAGAAAATTTTCTAATTTTTTAAAGCTCCTTGAAGAAAAAGAAAAACATTGTTTAAAAAATGTGCTGTGACCAATAATAAAATACATCACCAATTGTCAAAGATAAAAAATGATTAATTTATCTTCTTTACTCTTAAGGTGGTGTTTGGGCAAGATGGAGAAAAGGGGCACTTGGTTGTGGATGGTCTGAGGGCCCATGAAGGAAGTTTGCCTGGAAATTCCACCTTCGGCCTCAGAGCACCAGTTTACCTGGGATCACCTCCCTCATGGAAACCAAAGGTAAATATTTATGTTTCACCAACACACAAAAGATGCTCAGCATCGCTCATCATCAGGGAAATGCAAATCAAAAGCACAATGAGATATCCCCTCACCCTTGACAGAAAGGCTGTTATCAAAAAGACAAGAAATAACAAGAGCTGGTGAGGAAATGGAGAAAAAGGAACTCTCACGCACTGTTGGGGGGGGGCAGGGAATGCAAACTGGAACAGCCACCATAGAAAATAGTGTGGAGGTTACTCAGAAAATTAAGAAGAGAAATACTGTGCAATCTAATAATTCCACTGCTGGGTATTTACCCAAAGAAAACAAAGACACTAATTTGAAAAGATCTATGCACCCCTATGTTTATTGCAGCATTATTTACAATAGCCAAGATACTGGACACAGCCCAAGCGTCCACTGATAAATAAATAGATGAAGAAGTGGGACATATATACAATGAAATATTACTCAGCCATACAAAAGAATGAAATCTTGCCATTTGTGACAACATGGCTGGACCTAGAGGCTATTTTGCCAAGTGAAATAAGTCAGACAGAGAAAGACAAATATCATATGATTTCACTCATAATCTTAAAAAAAAACAAAACAAATGAATAAACAAGCAAAAAAGAAATAAACTCATAAATATAGAGAACAAACTGGTGGTTGGCAGAAGTCGGTGGGGTGGTGGGGGGGCGGGGAAGGGTGGCAGATGGGCCAAATAGGAGAAAGGAATTAAGAGGTACAAACTTCCAGTTGTAAAATAAATAATTCACCAGGATAAAAAGTACAGCATTGGGAACCCGGTCAATAATATTGTAATAACTTTGTATGGTGACAAATGGTAACCACACAGCATGGTGAGCATTTCATGCCAAAAACAGTCATGCTTCAGAACTGTATATAAAAATAATTCACCTTATAATATAATCATGAAAGTGGTTAGAAGGTACAAACTTCCAGGGGCACTTGGGTGTCTCAGTGGGTTAAGCATCCTACTTTGGCTCAGGTCATGATCTCACGGCTCTTGGGTTCAAGACCTGTGTCAGGCTCTGTGTTGACAGCTCAGAGCCTAGAGCCTGCTTCAGATTCTGTGTCTCCCCCTCTCAATGCCCCTTCCCCACTCACATCCTCTTTCTCTGTCTCCAAAAAATAAATAAACATTAGAAAAAAAAATTTTAAAACGAAGGTACAAACATCCAGTTATAAAATAAATAAAATGAATAAGTCTTGGGTTATAAGGCATGGCGACCACAGTTAATAGTTAATAATACTGTATTCTATATTTGAAAGTTGGTAAGAAAGTAAATCATAAAAGTTCTTACCACAAGAAAAAAGTTTGTAATTATGTGTAGTGATGGATGTTAATTGGACTTATTATGGTATTCACAGCACTAATTATATATAGAATCACTATGCTGCACACCTGAAAAAAATATGTTATATGTCAATTATATCTTAATTAAAACATTTTAATAGGTAATCATTATAATTATATAAGATATTCAAGAATCTCAAAATACTTTAAAATTTTCTTTTAATGTTTATTTATTTTTGAGAGAGAAAGAGACAGAATGTGAGCAGGGGAGGGGCAGAGAGAGAGGGAGAGACAGAATCTGAAGCAGCCTCCAGCATGTCATAAAGTAGTGTTTTGCTTTATTATATATTATACATATATACATGCATATTATATACATATACAATACATGTATAATACATATATACTATACATATATGTACTGTATGTATTATGTATATGTATAATATGTAATAAAGTTATATATAATTGCCATATATTAATACTACATATAATATTCTATAATATGCATTATATAATGAATATTATATGATATATAATATATATGTGATATATTGTATAATACATGCATAATATATAGCATTAATTGCTAAGGAGAATCCTCAATGTAAATGTTTGCTTTTCTGTAACCTCTGTATGTAACTATTTCCCTTTCAGAGAAATCACAGGATGGGGTAAGCTATTCAAGAGCACAGTATGGATATTCTTTTGTCCTGGATAAGTCATAGTCAGCATCCTAATCTATGGGACAATCTGTAGTACCCCATTTATATCATTCTTAGGAACCAAGTTTCTTTTTGCAACATCCCCTCCACCCAAGGATGCAAACCACGGGTTACTCTGCTCCACATCGTTTTAGAGGGCAGGCAACATCCAGTCAATGTCTGCCTCTGAGTACCACAACCTGCAGTCGCCCTTAGGGATTCAGTGTTAGGCAATGACCTTCCCTGCAGAGTCTGAGCTTGGTTTCAGATACAGGCTCTTCATTGCATAAGGTGGTAAATTTTAAGAAACTAAAACTTTCATAGGGAGTCCAGTCGGTAGTTTATTGTTGACACTGACACCATATGCATCCCTAATATCACCATGTCTTAAAATTATCACATAGTGCATCTGTTGTGTAGGATTCCAGGGTCCTAAAAGCATTTATTTTGGAAGGGAGTCTAAGGATTTTATTCAGTGATTCTTCAATTTTTTTTGAAAAAAATTTTAAAAGTTACAGTCTTTTGGGGCACCTGGGTGGCTCAGTCAGTTAAGCATCTGGCTTCGGCTCAGGTCACGATCTGGCAGTTCGTGGGTTTGAGCCCCTCATTGGGCTCTCTACTGACAGCTTGGAGCCTGGAGCCCGCTTCGGATTCTGTGTCTCCTTCTCTTTCCGTTCTTCCCCCACGCATGCTCTGTCTCTCTCTCAAAAATAAATTTTAAAAAATTTAAAGAGGAAAGGTAGTCTTTCTTCCCAGGAAAATGCACATGCAGAGAGCATCTGCTATATAATTTAAGAGATCACAGAACCCTGGAGGTGCACGCAGGGGCCCTAGGTGAGGAGCCCTTGTTCCAGGCCACCTTTGGGTGCTCCATGCATGCCCACTGATGCTCTGCCTTGTGTCTTATTTTAACTCCACAGTATTCATGATTTGTTGGTGGTGCACTGAGCCCAACAATTTAGGAAGCTTTTTTGCACTTTATTATTTTTGGAATGTTTTGGCCTCTTTTTCAGTCAGCTGCCCTGCATTAAGCAATCGCATAGGCTCATTAAACTCTAAGAAGTGGTTTGTACCTGCAAAGAGACCGTGATATCTATATACCGGAAGGCGGAGATTTCCCTTGTTGTAGCCCTGTCATGTGGACCAGGGTCAGGTCACTGACCAGCACTAGCTAGCGACCTCCACTGCCCTTGCCCCTTGCATACATACCACTTGGTGCCCTCAAACTTTGGCCTCAAACTTCGGCCACCCACCGGACGTCTGGTATCCAGGGTTTTCTAGGCAGTGTGAGCAGGGAGCCAAATGCAACAGTCAGGCCCACCTGACTCTCTGAAGCAGGATGGATGAATTCTGCCCCCCCCCCCAAACCCCTTTGG